AGCCCGGCGAGCGCCCCGACCTTCTCGGCCGGCCGCGTTCCCGGGGAGACCCCGAGCCCGAGCCAGAGCCTCCGAGGCCGGCTCCTCCTCGCGCTCGGCCTCGCGGGAAATCCCCACTCGCTGAGCCTTGCGTGTCCACGTGGACTCGTTCTAAATTCCTTGGCTGCTGGAGGGACAATAAAGAAAAATAGAACAGTGTTAACTTTTTCCCCGTCTCCTAGAGCACACCTGGGAAAGGGGGCAGGGCCCACCATGAACCTGAAACTGCACGTCGCCTGGGTTACTGTGGCCAGGGGTCGCGTTTTCAAAGCAGTTACTCGGTTTCCCCTGCGTGCCTGCTCATTCCCTCCTTCCAGCTCGAAAGGCAACTGAAAAACCGCAGAAGCCCAGTGCCCGGCCCTCCCCAGCGACCACACAGGTCTGAGCACCCCCTTCGCCCTTGAGCAAAACATCCCAGGCCCTCCTGTTTCCGAGCCGCGGCCTTGCGGCCCTCGTGGCCCCGAGACCGAGTCCGGGCTGAGCCCGCCACCCTCTCAAGCAGCCTCGCCGGGACCGCCGTGCCAAGACTCCAGGCTGGCAGCATGTTTTCTCCTGATTGATTTTTTTTTTTAAGAAGAAGAAGAAGACCAAGCCAACTTTAACTTAAGAAAGAAAATGATTTTTTTTTCTTTAGTATCTGAGAACTTTAAAGCAAAACGGAGTTTATATATTCCAATAACAATGACGAGTGTAAGTTTTTAATGTCCCTGCGTAGGCATTTTAATTTGCTACAGTCACTACCAATAAAAACGGCATGTAGTAAGAGTCGACTGTTTAATAGTGCAAGGTAGACGGTTTTTATTAGTAACAGGCAGCAACGGTATGGAAAATGTAGATTTCAGTGGAGGAGTATAATTGCTGCGGGGAAAATACACACAGGACGGGAAGAGCCCATCTTCAAACTCCCAACACGGAGCTAAAGAGAGGGGAAGGGCAGGCGGTGTTTCTGGAGATGCACCTGGGTGAGGGGACCCTCCCGGTCACTGCACGTGTCTGGTTATATATTTAATTGATGTCAGAATCGACTGTATCCAAAGCAGACACTCCAGCTCCAAACTGAGGATGTTTTTGTAATAACTGGCTGTTTTCTCTTCTGTCCCTGGAAGAGGTCAGGCCCGGGGGTGTCAAGGGAGGGGGAGGGAGGGTGAGCCCCAAATGCTAATGAAACCACAGCGGGAACCGCTCTTTAGAAATGGAAATACTCCAGGCCAGTCCTCCCTGGTGATAAAAATTACACGCGATTTTTTTTTCATTTAAACTGATCTGATCGGAAAAGAACCCTAAAAGCTGCCATCTGATCTGCCACTGTTTGTGTTTGCTATCCAGCGTGTGGGCCTCTCATTTACCCCCCTTCTTGGAGGAATTCCCTCCCAGGAAGCGGCAAAAATGTCGTAGACTGTCGACGGCTCGCCCAACCCCGCTGCTTCCTCTGTCTGTCTGTTTTTCAACTCTCTAGTAATTGAATAAAAGTATCTGCGCTGAGCTGAATTAGGATGTCCCAGGTGGACTCGCAGCATGGTTGAAACCCCCCTTGCTGGGTCGTTGCAGGAGCCCCAGCCTGCGGGAACGGGGAGTCTGTGGGTGCAGGGAGCGGTGGTCGTGGGTGTGTATGCGTGTGCGTGTGCTGAGATGACCTGGAGAGGATGCGTGCAGAATGGGGGTGTGGTTTGTAGGAAGAGCGGTGGGGGAGCAGTGTGGGCCAAGGGGTGGGTGGGAGAACTAGTAGGGGGCGACTGGCTTGGCTCGGGAGCTCCTGGCGGGAGGGGTAACATGCCTGGATCGCGCCTACCGGGAGAGTCGCCCTGCCTGCCGGCTCAGGAGGAGCCATCCTCAAGCCCAGCACTGCAGTTTGCAACTGGTTCCCGTGCACCTGGGGAAAGACAGCCTGATGCCGTGAGTGTTTCTCTTGCCCCCTGGACCAGGCTGGTAAACCGAGCTCCGCTCCCTCCGCGCCGCTGCAGCTGCACCACGGGGAGGCCGCAACATGCACTGCGTCCTGAGATCACCAAGGCCGCTCCGCAGGCTGCAGGGCCAGCGGGGGTGCAGGAGTCGGTTGCAGGCCTAAACTGAGGCCCGCCCCAGGCCACGGCGCTCTCTCTCCTCCACCGCACCCACCCGAGATGGCTTCTGAGGATAGAGGCACCTGTTGGGTGGGTGCTTCCAATAGGCCAGCACACGCCTGACACTCTTCCATCCCCCTGAGCGCCCCCCATAGGTGACCCTTCGGAGTGGGCCGTCAGACGCCCTCTTCGGCCATCCCCGAGTGGAAAAGGGATGAAGAAGCGTGATGGGGAGCGGGTTCTAGGAAGCTAGGGTCCCAGGGACCCTCGCCAACCGCGTCGATTCTGAGCCCCACAAGGCAACTGCCCCCCAACTCCAGCCGCGCGTCACCTGAGCTACCTGTAATGCCACTGCACCGGAGGCGCCAGCCTGAGCTCCTGCCCGTTCCCGAGGTGACGGGGAGGCTTCAGGTCCTGCCAGAGGCAGTTTGTCGGGTAACAATCATCCCCCCAGTGTTTTGACAACACAAATCCGAAAGAGGAGTCAACTTAGAAAAACAAAATAAAATAAAACTCTTTAGGGGACGGCGTCGTCTTAGGTGAAGCCCTGGCGGCATTCCCAACAGTGGAAAGTCGTAACGTCAGGGCCCTGGGGGTTGCGCTGAGGATTTGGGGATGGAAAGCTCACCTCAGGGCCCTCCTGGCAATTCGCAACCAAGGCGCCCCGGATCCAGGTCCATGCTGCGAGGAGCGGGCCGCGAGGGGTAGGCGACCAGACGCGAGGCCACGCGGGGAGCCTTGGGCCGGGAGGCAGA